AGCAGGCAGCCTGGCTTATTCTTATGTCTAACAATCTCATTCTTTTTTTTTTTTTTAAGATTTTATTTATTTATTTGACAGAGAGACAGAGAGCACAAGCAGGCAGAGTGGCAGGCAAAGAGAGAGGGAGAAGCAGGCTCGCTGCTAAGCAGGGAGCCTGACATGGGGCTTGATCCCAGGACCCTGGGATCATGACCTGAGCCGAAGGCAGATGCTTAACCGACTCAGCCACCCAGGCACCCCTAACAATCTCGTTCTTGACACAGATCTATCCCCTCTGCTGACTCAGCTTCTCCTTAGCTTTTACTGGTACAAATACTCCCCTGACACTCTCTCATGGCTTTCATTTAGATCATTATTTACACTATTTACTCTACAATCTCTGCTTTGGGGGCATCTTATTTTGAATCCCTGTATCATGACCAGTCTATTGACTTTCACTTCAGTGTTCATACCGCATAGAAAAGAGAGGAATTGGACAGTGCACCCTAGATAATCTTTCATCCTACAGAGCAAGGACTTTGGGACACCCATACACTCATTCCTCTTTCTCACCCCCTCTCTCTCCTCTTTTCCCACTAACCTTTGGTCTAGAAGGAGAAGGATTTCTCTTTCTTTTCTGATCTAAATAGAATGTCTTCTTATAGCATATTCTCATTTCTTCCCCAATTCCCCTAACCCCCATTTTTTTGATCTGGAAGAAAATGTCTTACTATCAGGGAACTTACTTAAATTTGGAATTAGTTAAAAATATACGAGTACTTCTGAAAGAGTAGTGGGGTCGAGAATTACTCTCCTATCATAAATAACTAGAATACTGGACAAATGTAGAAAACAATAACTTTTAGACATTCAGTGCAGAACTGTGGTTCCTGCAAGAAGGGAACCAGATGAGGTAAGCCCTGAAATCATCTAGGCTTTCTGCCTGGAGGAAATTTCCAGAACGTCTCATAGGGAGGGGCAACCCAGAGAGCAAGAGTGGTCTTGCTGAGTAGATAAGACAGAGACTGGAGTTTGGGGAGGCCAAAGTGGTTAAATTTTATAGGAAAGTGTTCCAGAGAGGAGGTAGCTTAGCTAAGAAAAAAGTATGGGAAAGCTGCAAAGGGGTCCCACGGAATCCTGGCCTGAATACCAACCTGTCTAGGCTTAGAGTAAAAGCTTCAAGTTTAGACAAAGGACAACTTCTGGGCAAAGAACTTACTGTGGAATTTCAAGCCAAATGATTCCTGAATACATCATTCGAGTTCCCACAAGCCATAGGGGAGGGGCCTTGTTGGATGCATGAGGCATTCATTAGAGATCCCAGAATTGTCACATCATAGAAGATAAGTTAAATTAACTCTAAAGTAAAGACTAGTCTAGAGTCATCCTAAAAGACTATAAAACAAACCTCAAAAGAATCAAATCAATCTGCAAATAGCTTAACTACCTGCCATAAGAATATCTAGCACTCTTGAAAGGAACATAAAAAATACAGTACTCAAAAATGTAAGAGTTTTGATACACTATACTAATAGAGAAAAGGCTAACTGGGACCCATAATCCAGTGAAAATCAATTTATGGGAACAGATTCAGAGATGACAAAGATGATGAAATTAGCAGATAAAGCACATTAAACACATTTTCATAAATATGCATCATATGCTCAAGTATGGAAAAAAGCATAAATATAATGAGGAGAGAAATATAAGGCATAAAAGAAAACCAAATGGAATTTCTAGTATTAAAACACGCATATCTAAAATTAAAGTTTCACAGAAGGGGATAAGCTGAAGATTAAAAACTGCTAAAAAAAATTTAGTTAGCATGAAGATATAACAACAGAAACTATTGAAAATGAAGTACAAAAAGAAAAAAAAGTGAAAAAAAAAGAACAGAACTCAAGTGACCTGCTGGATACATGTGATTGGAATCTAACAAAGGGACTTGAGGTAGCAAGGTCTGAAAAATTTCCAAGTTTGACAAAAACTACCAACCTATTGATCTAAGAAATTCAGCGAGCCCCAAACAAGATAAACAGAAAAAAGTCACATAAAGGAACATCATAATCAAATTTATGAACATAAAGTATGAAGCAGGAAAAAATGTATAGTGTGGACAGAACAAAGATAGAACTAACTACAAACATCCAATGAGAAATTAGGCAAGCAATAAAAACTAGTGGAGTGCCATCTTTAGAAGGCTGAAAGAAAAGACAGTAACAGTATATTATTTTATACCCAGATAGACTATGCTTCAAAATGAAGGTGAAATAAAACAACTATAGAGGAAAAAAAAAGTCAAGAATATTTGTTACTGGCAAACCTATACTATAATAAATGTTACAGGAAGTTCTTTAGACAGAAGGAAAATGAGCCCCATCTCTTAGTAGTCACACTTTGCATAATTTCCTCCCACATTGCATCAAGTTTGATCTGTATAACTAATAAAGTATGGCAGATGTGATTGTGTTTTTATGTCCCTTTGGAGATTAGGTTATAAAAGACAAATTTCTCTCCCTCCAACGCCAAATCCCAACAATCACTCTGTAGAAAGCCAAATTCCATGTTTTGAGAATACTCAGGTAGCTTATGAAAAGGCCCACATGGGGAGAGCTGAGATTTCAGCCAGTCTCAGTTGTGAATAAGCTGAGAATATGAATGAGCCTGGAAGTGAATTCTTTAGCCCCAGGTGACTTCATTCCTGGAAGACAGTTTGAATACAACTTCTTGAGAGATCCTGGCAGAACCATGTAAGTTACTCCTAGATTCCTAACTGACAGGAACTGTGAGATAGTAAATATTTGTTGCTTTAAGTTGCTAAGTTTTAGAACAATTTGTTATGCAGCAATAGATAACTAATACACTTCCAAACTAATTCTAATACACCAGCATTTTGTGATTTAAAAAAAAAGATTGGGAGCCTGGGTGGCTCAGTCATTAAGCGTCTGCCTTCGGCTCAGGTCATGATCCCAGGGTCCTGGGATCGAGTCCCACAACGGGCTCCCTGCTCAGCAGGAGGCCTGCTTCTCCCTCTCCCACTCCCCCTGCTTGTGTTCCTGCTCTTGCTCTTTCTCTCTCTGCCACAAAAAAAAAAAGATCAATATTCCTAATAAACAAATATGCAGAAATCTCTGAAAACTATTAACAAATTTAATAGAGCAATATATAAAAAGGATGATAGCCTGACCAAGTGATATTTACCCCAGAAATGCCATGTTTATTTTTTGATCAAAATAACACAACAAAATTTACCATATTTACAGAGTAAACATAAAAAGAAACTCAAAAGATTAACTCAACTGATGTAGGATAAGGCTTTGAACAAACTCAACATGTATTTTTGATAAAAAAAAAAAACCTCAGAACACTAGAAATATAAGAGAGCTATCTCAACCAAATAAAAGCAATTTATAATAAAAACCTACAGCTAACCTCATATTTAATGGGAAAAGACTAAATGCCTTTTTCATAAGATCAAGGACAAGGCAAGATTGTTTACTTTGATGACTTCTATTTTATAACTTCAACATTGTACTAGAAGTCCCATGCAATGAAATAAGGCAAGAAAAAAATATAGAAGATTGTATTGTAAAATTTTAAACTTTATATTTTCCAGATGCTTCAACATCCCAACAAACAGGCTATGAGCACCCCACCCATGTGCCCAGTGCACTGGTGTGATAAGGTGGGTCCCTGTTACAGGGACCTTGCTCTCCCCTGTCTATGAGCTAGTGACATTCAAATGCACCAGTAAAACCTCCTTGTGCCTTTTGCTTTTGTCTTCCACAATGACCCTCAATAAAGGCACTTACTCATGGGTCTTGATCCCCACCTGCTTGGTAGAGCCTGCTCCCTTCGAACTCCTTCTATATGGCCTCCTGAGCGATGAGTCAACCTCTCTCTTCTGGGATTTGTAAGTATAACAAATCCTTTAATTTCACATGTCTCTCTGTGTGGTGTTCTTCCATGTCTATACCTGACTGAACATCAAAAAACCCCTTTTTAAGTAGCAGAATTATTTACAACACAAAGGTGAACTTATCAAAAAAAGAAGAAGAAATTTATATTTATTTTTAGGCAACATACTTGAGTGCATAGACTATTTTAAGAAATCTGTAACAATTGGTACTAAAACTAAAAAGCAAATCTAGTAATGTTATAAGGTAACAAATAAATTGTACTTCTTTGTAACATCAATGAATAGTTAGAATTTGAAATTGAAAAATTATCATTTATGATAGGATCAAAACCACAAAATACTTAAGGATAAATGTAACCTACTATGTGCAAGACCTGTATATTAAAGTTACAGAGCATTTTACATGAAAGGACACTAATTAGTAAATGGAGAGGAATGTTATGTTAATAATCAGATATCTTCATAAGATACCAATTCTCCTCAAATTGATCAATAGATTCAATTCAGTCTCAACCAATATCCCAGGGTTGTTTTTTTTTTTTTTGTAGAATTTTACGTGAAAATTCTAAAATTTATATAAAAAATGGAAAGCCTAGAATGGCCTAAATAATTCTGAAAAAGAACAATGGTGATAGAGCTATCTTGCCTGATTTGAATACCTACTATCAAAAACATTAATTAATACAGTATATTATTGGCATGAAGAGAGGCACAGAGGTCAATGGAACAGAATTGAGCCCCCAAATAAACCCCAAATAAATAAATATGCCTATTAATTGCTTTTTCAAAAAAGTGCCAAGATAATTACTGAAGGAAAGAGTAGACATTCAACAAAGGATCAAAATGATATTCATATGGGAAACAATGAATGAACCGTCTTCTCACACATTATACAACAACTAACCAGAAATGGATCATACACCTAAATGTAGTAGCTCAAAGTATAAAATTTTTAGAAGAAAATACAGGAATAAAATTTCTGCTACATGAAGTAGGACACTTTTATTAGACCTAAGGGCACAAAAAGTTTGAAATACGAACAAATTTGATAAATCATACTTTATCTGATTTAAACACTTCGGCTCTTTAAAAGGTACTGTTGATCTAGCTTGCCGAGCTCCAGCCCAAGGAGAAGGGGGGTAAATAAGGGAGTTTCTGTACCATGGCTCCTACAAAGCAGACTGCCCGCAAATCAACCGGTGGTAAAGCACCGAGGAAGCAACTGGCTACAAAAGCCGCTCGCAAGAGTGCGCCCTCTACTGGAGGGGTGAAGAAACCTCATCGTTACAGGCCTGGTACTGTGGCACTCCGTGAAATTAGACGTTATCAGAAGTCCACCGAACGTCTGATCCGCAAACTTCCTTTCCAGCGTCTGGTGCGAGAAATTGCTCAGGACTTCAAAACAGATCTGCGCTTCCAGAGCGCGGCTATTGGTGCTTTGCAGGAGGCAAGCGAGGCCTATCTGGTGGGCCTCTTTGAAGACACCAACCTGTGGGCTATCCATGCCAAACGTGTCACAATTATGCCAAAAGACATCCAGCTAGCGCGCCGCATACGTGGAGAACATGCTTAAGAATCCACTATGATGGAAAACATTTCATTCTTTAAAAAAAAAAAAAAAAATTCTCTTCTTCCTGTTATTGGTAGTTCTGAACGTTAGATTTTTTTTTTCCATGGGGTCAAAAGGCACCTAAGTATATGATTGCAAGTGGAAAAATAGGCGAGAGAAATCAGGTATTGGCAGGTTTTCCATTGTCATTTGTGTGTGAATTTTTAATATAAATGCGGGGACATAAAGCATTAATGCAAGTCAAAATGTTTCAGTGAACACGTTTCAGCAGTTCAACTTTATAACAATTATAAATAAACCTGTTAAATTTTTCTGGACAATGCCAGCATTTGGATTTTTTTAAAACAAGTAAATTTCTTATTGACGGCAACTAAATGGTGTTTGTAGCATTTTTATCATACAGTAGATCCATCCATTCGCTGTACTTTTCTAACTGAGTTGTCCTACATGCAAGTACATGTTTTTAATGTTGTCTGTCTTCTGTGCTGTTCCTGTAAGTTTGCTATTAAAATACATTAAACTATAAAAAAATAAATAAAAGTTACTGTTGAATAAAATGGAAAGGCAAGGTATAGCCTGAGAGAAAATATTTTTAAAATATATGTCCAACAAAGGACTTTATCTGGAATACATAAAGAACTTTTACAACTGAAAAATAAGAAGATAAACGGCTCAATAAAATAGGCAAAAAAATTTAACACACACTTCACAGAAGAAGACACAAATGGCCAATAAGCTTACGGAAACATGCTCAACTTCATTAGTCACCAGACAAAGACAAATTAAAACCACCAGAGAGATAATCACGATGCAACCATTATAGAGGCTGTAGTTGAAAAGACTGACATCAAGTTTTAGTGAGAAGTGCAACTGGAATCTTTACTGTGTCTAGTGGGAATGCATAATATTTTGGAAAATAGCTTGGTAGTTTCTTATAAAGTAAGTTAAACATACATCTATCATACGATTTAGCACTTCTACCCCTATGCGTTTACCTAAAGAAATGTAAATATGTTTACACAAAGATTTGTACTTGAATGTTTATAGCAGCTTCCTTCATAACAGCCTCAAATGGGAATGATCTAAATATTCATTATCTGGTGAATGGAAAGCAAATTGTGGTGTATGCACATAATGGAACACTATTCTGCAATAAAAATGAATAAACTACTGATATGCTCTGCATCACGATATGCATCTTGAAAACATTATGCTAGTGAAAGAAACCAGACTCAGAAGACTATATACTATATGACTCAAATTTTATGAAATTTTAGACAAAGCAAAACTATAGTGATGGAAACATAGAAGTCATTGCCAAGAGTTTTGGGGGAGCGGAAGAGATTTATTACAGAGGGGCATAAAGGTACTCTTTGCAGCAATAGAAATTTCCTATATTAGATTGTGGTATTGGTTATACAGTGTATACATTTATCAAAACTCATTGAAATTTGCACTTCATATTAGTGAATTTTACTGTATGTAAATTATAACTCAATAAAGCTGACTTTTTAAAAGAACAGTCATATACACTCATTGAGTAATACATGCTCATAGGTCACTACACAACTAAAAGAAAACAAAGTTATAGTTTGAAAAATAGATCATTCGTTGAACAAATACCGAATGATCACTTATTACATGCCAAAGTCTGGGCTAAGTGTTCAAGACAAAGTTACAAACTAGATAGTGGGTAAGACAAGTGAGTGAACACAATTAAAATACAGTGTAACTGATATGATAGAGATAATCACAAGATGCTGTAGGTACACAGAGAAGAGATACCCAATCCAGTGCTGGGGATATGAAAGGCTTTTTATTAAAGGTAATACCAGAGTGCAAATCTGATGGAAGAAGATGAGCAAGCTAAGCAAATGAGAGTGTGTGGGCAATAGTCCAAAAGGAAGGGGACACACAGCTGGAGCTTGGAGTAAGAGAGCAGGTGGTTTTCTGTGAGTGGAACTGAAACTAGATGTAAGTAGGTATATTCAGGATATAGCTGAGAAATAGAATTCATAGGATTTAATAATTGTTACACATGGGACCTGAGGCAAGGCAAGAGAACAAGGCTGTTTTTACTTTTCTAGCTTGAGAAACTGGCACTATTCTCTGAAACTGAAATGTGGGAGCAAACAGAATGGGTTTAGTGACAGGTTGAGGGGGGTGTTTCATGAATGTTGTGTATGAAGTGCCTGTGAGAGATCCCACTGCAGTCTGTAGAAGAACATTGAATATAAAAGTCTGCGGCACACAAAATGAACCAGAAATAGATATGCAGGTCTAGAAGGCATGAACATGCTGGAGTTATCACAAGAAAGGATGAGATTAATCGGGTATATAAGGGAAACACGAAACAAGACAGTCCAAGAGAGGGAAAGGACTAAATAGCCAGACAACTGGGAGGATGACTAGAATACTAGGGTCCAGAAGTCAAGGATAGATAATGCTTTGAGTGGCCAACAGAGAAGTCAAGTAAGACAAAAGGTGAAAAGTGCACATGCAATGTTGCAAGATGGAGAAAACCAGACACTTTTTCAAGTGTAGCCTCAGTGGTGTGAAGGTGGGGAAGCCAGATACAGAGGTCTGAAGAGTGAGTGGGAGGTGATAAAATAGAGATATTTAATACAGACCTTCCCCATGCAAGAAGAGAGACAATGCATGTGGAATCTGGGGGAGTACCTGGGGATTGGAGGCAGGGCCATGTCCACATGCTAATGGGGTGCAGTCGGTGGAGAGGGAGAGATGGATGGAGCAACATTCCTGAGAAGGCAAGAAGGGAAGAGATCCAGAGAATGGGATCCATTTTTCAGTAAGATAAAGAATGTTTGTTCTGGTCCATCAAGATAGGAGGAGGAAGGGATGAGTGAAGATGTTAATATGTAAGTCTTATGGCAGGAAGTTGAGGGAGTTTTGACCAATGTCTTCTATTTTTCTGCAGGGGGCAAGGTCATATGGAGATGAAGGGGGATGTGGGGGTCCTGCCTTTTAGAGCAGAGGAGACAGTTTAAAACAGTTGCCTCACAGAAGATGAAAACTGCCCATAGACACATAATGGGACTCCTGAGTGTCATTAAGGGCTGAGTTAAGGTCGGGGACCATGAATTACTACTGTTTCCAATTCAGAGTGATTTTTTTTTTTTTTCTCCACAATTACCCAGTAATCCAGGTTCAAGCATGGAGCAGATTGCAAGTTGAATTCATTCAGATTTTGGGTTCTACACAGGACTCACAATAAGATCATTACAAAATAAGAAATTGAGGATTTTGAGAAAAGTAATTGCTGTGATGGTCGATGTCAGCTAGATGATGAAGGACATGAAAACAAGGGAGTCCTGGGAGATGAGAAGAAAATAGGTGGGTCTGTAAACTGGAAGTTTCTAGAAGGCTTAAAAATGGTATATTGGGGATAAGTGAATTGAGGTACTGTGGCCGACATGGATAGACAAAGAAGATCATACAAAATAAAGAGGGCAAAGAATCCTAAAGGTCAGGATGTCAGAAGGATTATCTAGTCCTAAAGGCACCAAAGATGGCAGCAATATAGGGATGGGGAGAAAGATGGAAGACAGGGGCGAATCTTCAAAGAATTAGGAGGAGTGTCTAGGATAGAAGGCAAGAGTGCTAAGGAGTATAGCAAGGCAGAGCCACAAGGCAAACACTTTAAATGAGAGAGAACTATACAGGTCTGAGAAAACTTAATCCAGAATCAGTTGTTATAAGCAAGGAGGACCAATTCCCAACCTTTAATGACATGAGAGGTGGAGGGAGAACAGCCTCCACTTGAGGTATCTTGTGTGGCTTGAATAGGTAGGGTCCATGAAGTTTCTGGGCTCAGTGCAACTGACATGAATAAACAGAGGCTTTTTGGTGATGGGAAGCCTTGCAGGGTGGATGAATGAGCAGACAGCCTGGTGGTGGAGGCAGTGACCTCTGTTGCATTCTGCATCAATGGTAGTGACTGTGTCTCAACTTAGAATGATCAGTGAAGTAATTAAAGCTCCAGAATCAGCCAGACCTGGGCTGAGTCCAAGTTCTGTCATTCACTGACCATGAGAGCATCTCTGAACATCTGTTTCTTCCAGTATAAAATGAGGATAATAGTATTTACATCAGAGTTGTCTTAAAACTTCCATAACATGATGCTTGTCAAACTGCATGGTGCAGTCAAATAGTAAGCACTTAATAAAGACTACTGTTATTTTTATTACAATTCTGGGTATATGCGATTCCAGAGCCCAAAAAGAAAGGACTGTGCTTAATGAGATAAACTTTCAGTGAATCTGGGTGGAAGGAAAGGTGGGGGGTATGAGAGTTTGCCAAATGGAAAAGGTTAAATTGTTCAGTGGATGAGACCTTTATTTCTCAAGACAGATCATTAAACAATGTGCAGTGTCTAAGAATCTGATTATCAAGCTGATTTTCCTATTCTCCTATAATAGTGGGTCTGGAGATTCAGGATGATTTAACTTTTCCTTTGTTGACAAGAGCAAAGTGTTTAGAAAGAGGAGCTGGGGGAGAGAGCCGTAACTTCCACACCTCATTTAGATGGACCAGCCCTGTTTACGCAGTCTGCTGAATTCTGATGAGAGAGTGGTATTCTTACAACAGACATCATTGTCCAGATGTAGACACACTACGGTCGTTTCCAAATAGGCAACAAAGATCACTTGGAAGTGGAAACTTTCTTGAGTTTACTCCTCTGATGAAGGGCCCTTCCTCTGCAGCAACGTGAGTCTCCATGCAAGGGAGGGGGCTCTCTCCTCCTATCTCTTTACAACCTCTATCCCAACCGCCCCAAGGGCCTTCAAAAGGAAGCAGCCTGCTCAGTGGTTGTGGTACTTTTCCTGCAGGTATGGAGGATAGATTATATGATTTAAAACACAGCCCTTCCCTAACCCAACTTAATTCCCGCACATAATTTCCTGGAGCCTGATCAAGGCTCCTGAAGATCGCTTGCCCCAGCAATCTGTTCTTTCTGAAACTATCCTCTTCGATCTTACTATTTTTTTTTTTTTTTAACCCTGAGAGCTTTTGGCCTACTTTTTTGTTGTTTACATTTTATGTATTTTCCAAAACCCCAAAGTCTTCCTTCACATGCTACTTATTCATTAATTTTGTAAATAAATACATTCTTTTAATTTGTAGTGAGCTGGGAGGGGGAAATATCTGGCTCTCCACTTCTCTATCTATCTGATGAGTATATAGAAGTTAATAGCCCAGACTCTGGAACCAGACTATCAGAGACTGAATCATAGGTCTACTATTACCTATGTGACCTTGAGCAAGCTGCTTAAACTCTCTGTACCTCAGTCACCATCTGTGAAATGGGAATATAATAACAACAATCTCATGGAGTTGTTTTGAGGAT